ATCGATGAGAATTTTTTTACTCCATTTGTATGGCCCTAGCTCTTGTATTATATTGATGGACGGAGTTTCTGCTGGATAGAGCTATCTTTGAACCTTTAGCCTTACAATTGCAATTAGAAACTATGTATGATATGTAAATGTATGCATGAAATGTACTAATGTTTGCCACATCATCGATATTGATAAAAGAAATCTCCATTTGAAACTTTATTAAATAAAATTTCAAAATTACATCATAATAAAGTCAAAGCAATATTTTAAAGTCCTAAACATCATTTTTTATTTCTAATGCCTCCTTATAAACTTTCTAGCTTGTTGGTAATGATTTGGTGCCTCATCTAGGAAATCAAGTAAATGTCGCCCATGCAATCCCACTGGTTGCACCATAGCCTTCAAACTTTCACTTTTTCTTTCATTTCTGATGCTTTGTCTGCAACAATGCATATCTGATCAAACAAATACCTTAAATGCCTTTGTTTTTCTATACACATGTCTTTCCATAACTCACTCTATTGAGCTTATTTTTTGTATTCATCAGACAAAGCTTCTACTTGTACTGTGTGCTGATCCACTATCTCTTGTAGCATTTGACTTTGTCTATGTACCCTAGCAGTAGCCTTTTGTTCTTTTTTCATCCTCACTTTTAACAATTCATTTTTTTTAAAAGTCGGGCAAGCTCGAGGTGTGATTGACGAATGTGCCATATCTAAATCATTAAATAAGGCTCTCCATTAATCTTTTTGCTCTGTAAGGCTCTGGATTTTCAGTTCTTAAAGTTGTAAACATTTTTTCATTTTTATCTTCAATCGTTTATTTTTTTATTCAACTCATCTTTCTCATACTGGAGTTTTCTCTTAGCTGTTTCCATTTTAAGCAAAGGATATTGAAGAATGGGTTTTGGGGAATGCCCTAACTGTTTACTAAGAATCACAATGTCTTTTCCCCTTCTCGCATGTCATACACTATATTTTGGAGTGACGTCATAAGTAAACCTCTCTTGGTTAACCCTAGTGGTTTACTTCCATGCTTTCTTAATCTTTTCAACCATTCCATATGCCCTTTTATCAGTGAATGAGAACTTCTCTTGGTTAAGTCCATAAGTTTCTAGAATGAATTGCTCACACCCGAATTGTCTTTTCACTAAAGCTAAAGCATAAGTAACAACACCTCATAGGCCTAATAAAAACACCAATGGCTGATTTTCACAACTGTATAACACCGTATCATGACGCATCCAAGGTGTTCTCCAAACTATCCTTTGACTATTAAGGGCTCGAAAATAGAAAACTCATTCCTCTTTTGACTTTGCTTGAGGCCATATGCCGTAACAGAATTCTTTGATGGGGATACTGGAACGAAGGTATGACTTGTGAAATTGACTTTCTTTACATTCCATGTGACTCTTGATCCATACATAAAGTAACGGTAAACATCCATTAAATTGACCTTTACCGTTTTTACGATAAAAGTTTAGAGATCGAATGGTTTCTACCAAAATGGTTGGTGCTGTATTGACCTGATATGCTAACTGATCAACAAAATCCATCACTGCAACATCAACATATCCGATGACTTTCGAGAAGATCACTAATCCATATAAAGCTATAGCCATAGCTATTAATATCTGATCATCATCTATGTGCCCTTGGCTGAAATCTCGTAAAAAACTCCTTGGAATAGCCTTACTTTCACCCTTTATCTTGACACATGAATCGACTTGAGGCAAACTAAGTCAAAGTATTTGCACTAGTTTTTTAATGATAGCCTACCTTGTTGGCCCAGTAAATCTTGTCTGAGTTTGCTAGATCGAAGCGAAGTAGGATCATATACTCTTCAATTGTGGGCACCATGTTTACTTCATTGAAAATAAAACATCTATATGAAGGATCTCAAAACTGAATAATAGCCCTAATCAAATTATTATCCACTTGCACCTGTAGCAGTGAAGTTATGTCTCCATATCTATTCTCAAATTCCTCTTGTCTTATTCTATTCATGCATTCTCATATACTGTTTAAGTCAAATAGATCATTTTACTGTAGCTCTAGATGAACTCTTTCGGGTAATGATGAAATAAAATCTTTAGACAAGTAATCTCTTTGTTTTCTTTGACCCTCTTTTGACTTAATTTTCTATTGATGAGCAAAATTATAGTGGACTAATGTAGACTTTGGTTGCATTTAGCTTTCTATGGATGTAAGTGTGAGATCTGATTTATCAATAACTGATATGCGATAAATATTTTCTATATGAAAATGATGCAAATGATAGTGTTAAATATGATCATGATATGATAATGCTAGAACATGAGAATAGAGATGATGCATAGAATGAAATGCTAGAACATGAGAATGAAATGACATATAGATGCACAAAATCAAGCAGACAAAATGGTTAGATAACAAATTGTTCCTTCTTATGTCTTAATTTTGGGTTGTATTTATTGATGGATAGGAAGGGCTTAAGTTAGTTTCTTAGGGGTGAACTATATGCAGGGTTAGAAAATTTTAACCACTAAAAAGTTTTCAAATTGTTCTTTACATCATTGTCCATCACAGACTAGTAAGGCAGTCCAATCCTCACCCATCACAGGTTACCAACGAAAAGGATTCAATTTAAGAGGGAGTATTTCACTAGCCATTACGGAGATCATCATCTCATGAGAGCATAGGTACTTTACTTCCTTCTAAGAGGGACTGAGCCTGGGTATAGGTATAGAGCTCATGTAATGCAAATGCATGTGATAGTGTGTGTGAAAGAACACAAAATTATCAATCTCATAAATCAAATAAGAAACCAAAAAAGGAAAAATGTTAGTAAACAAATAACTTAAAGTCATTAGTTCAAAGGATAGGATAAATTTAGAAATTATGGCTTGAGTCTCTAATGTCCCCAGCGGAGTCACCAAACTGTCATAAAATATAGATTAAAAAATCTATAGCTAGATTTAACAAATGAATGGAGTCGTCACCAATCTTTTATTAGGTGTGATTGGTCACCTAGAGAATCTATCCTTTTATAGAACTCCTAAGCTTGACTAAGAGTCCCTAAAAGAATAAGTTCAGGTCTACGAATCAGAACAGGGTTCGAGAGTTCGGTTACATGCGGGGAAGGTTATAGCACCCCCACATGCCCATCCAAAGGATTGTACCATATTATTTCAAATTTATCCAAAGGTTTAGAATCTAATGGCTTTAAATTTTATGTTAAATATTGAAAATAATTTTTAAGATTCTCCATCAATCTGGTAGTACTCTCAAAAAAATTCTTCATCACCTCAAGAGTATTCAAGAATCCCATTTGATTTCTTGAAGAGGCTCTGTCGTCGGAAAAAGATTTATTTATTATTTATTATTATTATCATTTTTGTTGAAAATAAATCTAATTATTTCACTATTTGGGCCAAATTAGAAATATTTTTTCTTTTGAATTTCTAAAATTTTCACCATTTTGATATATTTAGAAATTCTCTTTTTCTTTTTTTTTTCCTTAGAAAGAAAATAATATGACAATTATTTTTATTAAAATTTCATCTAAATTATTCTACCATTTGGGTCAAATTTAGAGAAAATTTCTCACCTAGAGATTTCTTAAAGATTTACCATTTGAAATTTCTAAGAATTTCATCTTTAGATAATTATCAAATGTTTTCAATCTAAATTTTTATTTGAAAAAGAATACAATTACTTGTATTGAAATTTCATCTAAATCATTCCACAATTTGGGTCAAATTTAGAGGAAATTTCTCACCTAAAGATTTCTCAAGAATTTACCATTTGAAATTTTTAAGACTCTCATTATTGGGTAATTTGTATTTAATTCCAAAAATTTTTATATTTTTATGCTTTTTATGTTTTTAATTTTTCCTTTTTGGTTTGAAAATAAATATTAATTATTATTATTAAAATTTTATCTATATTATTCTACCATTTGGGATAAATTTAGACAAAATTTCTCACATTGAAATTTTATAAAAATTTATCATTTGAAATTTTTATAAATTTCATCATTGGATAATTAATATTTATTCCCAAAATTTTTATTTTTTCTTATTTTATCATGTAAAAAATACTCATAAAATAAATAAACACATAAATAAAAAAATAATTAAAAAAATAAAAAATACCAAAAAATAGAAACGGCTCGGTTTACGGCTAAGATCGGCTCAGCTTGAGACAGAAAAAATAGCTTAAAGGCGTGGCTTGAAGAATGCGGCTTGGCTTAACTTGACTGAAATGGTTGGTTGGAACTCGGGTCAGTCGAATAGGTTACGATCGGGTCCGATTAACTCAGACAGAAACGCACGGATCTTAGGTATCTACTAACGCTAAAACGGTGTCGTTTTGCTCTGGTATAAAAGCATAAGTCTGGTATTTCTCTTCAAACTTCTCCTCCTCCCTCTCTCTCTTCTCTCCTTTTTTCTCCCCTCTTTAAATGATTCCAGATTCTGATTGAATTCTTATCGAAATCCGAAAAAAGCCACTGGAAACTTCAAATATGGTCGAAAAACTCATCAGAAAATTTAAATTTCGCCAAAAAATTTCATTGGATTCTGAAAATTTTTCAAAAATTTTCCAAAAAAAGTACTCCAAAAATTCAAAAAAAAGCTTCTAAAAGTCCTATACTGACTCTAAACACTTTTTGCTTCTGTTTCACCTCTTTGTTTTCTTTTTTTCTCTCTGATTCTTGTGTATATAGGAGTATCTATTTATAGAGTTCTAATATAAAGAATCCGAACAAAATTCTACTCCTTTTTAATTTTAATTTCAGTATTTAAATCCAATTTAAACACCTCGAACAAAATTCTACTTCTTTTTAATTTTAATTTCAGTATTTAAATCCAATTTAAACACCTCACTCAAAGTCCTGCACTAACTCAACTTGTCAAGTTTTTTTTTATATTTTTTTTTTATTATTTATTTAATCAACAAATCAAATTAAGTAAAATCTCGAATATATTCAAATTAAGTAAAATCTCGAATAGATTGAAGTGTCTACAGAATTCACGTTCTCAGGAATTAAGTAATAACTATTACTGTATACAACATCTGATTTTTAGTGTCCAACAGGCCGGAATGTTCTTATTTGGGGTCGTAATTCTCTCTTACGGTTAACGGCTGGTAATCCGAAAGTGTGGCCCAAGCCAGCGTGGTTTAAGTTTTTTTCCTGGACCCATCTCTGTTCTCTTACCAGTACCACTGTACCTAGTCAGCTTTGTTCTCTTACAAGTACCACTGTACCAGGTCAGCTTTTGAGTTAATTCAATAAGTCGTTGCTCATTACAGTATTTCCATTTTGCAAAAATAAATTGGAAAAGAGACACTTCTCATCTTACAAAATCAAAAGTAGCCTTAGGATCCCATTTAAAGCATACAATGATGACCACTACATTGAAAACTTGCTGCTTCATCACATACAAAAAGAATCAGACTATTCTCTTTGTCCAAAATTAACTCCTACCCCCAACCGGATCTCAGTCACCTCCATTACTCAAAATGCTTCCCACTGATATCATTAATGGAAGTTCATGCTTCAGTTCCTGTTTTAGTAGTATCTTCACTTGTCTCACCAAGAGTAAATCGAATAAACCTTCGGACTTTTATGTTCTCTCCAAGTGCTGCAACAGTTTGCTTCACCAAGTCTTTAACCAAGACACTGTCATCCTTAATGAACGGCTGTTCTAAAAGGGCTAGCTCTCCAAGCCTCTTTGAGACCCTCCCTTCGACGATTTTCTCTCTAATGTTCTCTGGTTTTGATGCAAGATCTTCTCTCAGCATCTCAAGCTCTTTTTCTTTACTCACAATACTCTCCGGTATGTCTTCAATGGATACAAACTGCACCTGTGGACAGGCCACAACTTGCATTGCTAGGTCATCAACTAACTCTTTGAATTTTTCGCTTCTACCAACAAAGTCAGTCTCACAGTTGATTTCAATCAAGACACCAATCCGAGAGTCGTGAATGTAGGAACCAATTCTGCCTTCAGCAGCAAGTCGGCTGGATTTCTTGTCAGCGGTTGAAAGACCCTTCTTTCTAAGGTATTCCTGAGCCTTCTCGAGGTCACCTCCAGTTTCAGACAGAGCTTTCTTGCAGTCCATCATCCCAGCCCCTGTTTCTTCACGTAGTTGTTTAACAAGTGCGGCAGAAACAGCTACTGTTGGTCTGCAAAAGAGAAATGGATCAATGTAAACCATGCAAGAGATTATCGGAAAAAAGAAAAGGGCTACATTTCTTTTCTACAAGTAGTTCCAGCACACGTGAAAAAGGCCATCCAATAGAACAAAAATAAAAGGAAAATTTTGGAATTGTCTGATTAACAATTGATTTTCATTCTCAACCTACCGCCTAATCTACCAAACACTCACACACATGAAAGTACCATGTTTAGTTCGTAAATACTTGAGAAATTTCAAAATATAGACAAAGCATTGACCATAATGATATTGTATTAGTAAGCAATGAGAACCATGGAAAACAGCCACTTACTTCTGATCGGTTTCCTTGACTTCCACTGATGCCGATTGCTCTTTTCCAGTGGTAGAAACTGGTTTTGCTGCAGTTTGGGCAGCCACTTCAGCAGCAAAATCCTGGCTTTTCTTCTCCAGTCCCTCTCCAAGATTGAACCTCACAAACCTTTTCACTTTTATATTTTCTCCAATGGTTGCGATAGTCTGCTTTACCCAATCTTTCACCACCACCTTATCATTCTTAATGTATGGCTGCTCGAGTAAAGCCAACTCCCCAAGCCTCTTCCTTATCCGCCCTTCAACAATCTTTGATCTGATCTGCTCAGGTTTTGATAAGAGATCTTCCTTTTGCATCTCTATTTCTCTTTCCCTGATTACAGTCTCCTCAGGAACATCTTCTGGAACAAGATATTGTACTTGAGAGCAGGCGGCGACCTGCATGGCTAGATTGTCAACAAGCTCCTTAAAAATGTCACCCCGGGAGACAAAGTCTGTCTCACAGTTAACCTCTACTAGGACACCAATCCTGCTATCATGAATATAAGAACCTATTCTTCCTTCAGCTGTGACTCGACTGGCTTTTTTTTCTGCACTTGCCAAGCCTTTCTTGCGGAGAAACTCCTGAGCTTTAACAATGTCCCCTGCAGTCTCCGAGAGCGCTTTCTTGCAATCCATCATTCCTGCTCCTGTTTCTTCACGGAGCTGCTTTACAAGAGCTGGTGATATAGTTGCTGCTGAATCAATAAGTAGAGGAACACAAAATAAATGTCTTAAAAATATATAAATATCATATAAAACCACAAAAAATATCATGAATGATTCAACACATACACAGTCCCACTAATCCAAATTGAACGTCCACATTTCACTTGGCATAATATTTTATTAAAAGTATTTGACTTTAGGGTTTACTATATTAAAATTTATCATGAAATTGATGTTTAATGGTTTTTAACGTCAAAAAGTTATATAAAAAAAAATAAAAAAAATGCAAATATGGAATAAGAGTTTTAGGAGTTGAAATATAAAAGGAGGGTATAGTTTGGGACATCTCAAAATGGAAGAGTGAATATTCAATTTGGGTTAGAGCTTAATTCAAAAGTTTGTAAGATGCTTTTAATAGGTAAAACAACTGCCAAAGTGAATGAAGTTTAAACCTTTAGTCACATTTTCCTTAGGGGTGGAGCCATTTGAATCAGTAACCTCGCCATTCTTTCGAGATGCAGGTTCTGCCTCTTCAACTTCTGAAGTAGAAGAAATTTCGCTCTTAGGAGCTGGTTTCTCTATCTGTACTTCATCCTTGGTATCCTCAACTTGATTCTCTGCTTCTTCAATTGCTTCACTTCCCAAAGACTTAATCTGATCATCAGCCGATTCTTGAGATGGATCAGAACTTACATTGTTTTCCACTGTATCACAGCAAAATCAGCAATCAGAAATACAAAGATCTAAAGCAGAGTGAATTAAAATAACATATCCTCATTTTCTCTAATTTTTCTCACCAAAGAACTATCGCTTAGTTAGGGATGACAACTTTATAGCATAATGGAACTCCAAAAAAGACACACTAATCATTATATTGCATTAAAAACTGTACTCCCCAAACTTCAATAAAAGAAAGATGGAAATGAACTAATGGAGTTGAATATGCCTCAACTCTCAAGTGGTTCAAAAAAAAAAAAATATATATATATATATATATATATAGTACTTATAAAAAGGTTGTGTTTGACTCTATAACTAATTTAATAGAATCTTGAGCTGCACCCATCTTATGAGTATTCTCTCGCCAATAACCATACGCTAACAGTCTGAAAAATAGATTTTTAGCCTTCATTAATATTGCACAGATCAGAAAGTAATGCCTTGTGCGTCAGTGTTTGTGTGTGTGTATGCATGTGTGTATGCATTCAGATAATTAGTAATGCCTTTGTTTATTATATGCATGTTCACAGATATTCTGTTTCCAATCATCATTTTGTAATCTTTGGGATATCTACCTTTGGAATCTTTGGGATCAGGAACATCAGGTTGTACACCAGTGCTGGCAACACAGCCATTTTCATCAGGAATGGTTCCAACTTCTTCATCTTGAACTGATGCAACAGGAGTTTTATCCTCAGCTAGGGGTGTTTCTACTTGTTCATTAGGGATAGCTCCAATTTCTTCATCTTGAACTGATGCAGGAGAAGGAGTTTTATCCCCAGCTAGGTGTGTTTCTACTTGTACTTCATCTTTTGCTGTGGAATCTTCATCAACTACTGAATTTTCTGAAGTCATAACTTGATCAATTATTTCACTAGTTGATCCAGCTGTTTCATCACTTTCCACCACATCCACTAAGGGAACTTCTGCACTACTTTCTGCAGACAAAACTTCAAAACTCTCCTCTGTTTCCTTTTCTGTGGTTTCCTTGTCCTTGTTTGCAATATCAGCTACTGTATCTGTTTCCTTTTCAACCATTTCATCTACTGCAGTAGAGACAGTGGCCATTTCTTCATCATTGCTAGATGGTTGAACCTCTATTTTCTCTGACTTTTCTCTCTGATCCAAAAATGCAGCAATCTCCTTGTTCTTACGGAAAGCCAATACAAAGGGATTTGTTGCAGCATGCACCTCACCTTGGCTGAACTGTAAGTCCAAGTTGTCATCATCCTCTTCTTTCTTCATAGTCAAGGTTACTTGTCCCCTTTTGATGCGCAACACACGGACTTTGACTTCTTGGCCAACCTGAAGTGATGAGTCTCCCAACATGCTCATAAATCCATCATCAGATTCTTCTGATGTGGGCAAGAATCCTTCTTCTCCCTCAGGAAGAGAAATGAAAGCACCATACCTAGTTAAATTCTTCACAGTGCCCTCTATGTCCTGTCCCTTGACAAATTTTGAGCTTTTCACCTCCTCCTTTTTCTGGCTGGACCGTGAAGCATTCTTCCTGGCAGGCCTTGCCCGATCAATAGTGGCAGGACCATCTTTCCTTGGCTGGCGCATACTAGCATCATCATTTTCACGCATGGAAAGAGATATCCGCCCACTCTCAGTGTTTACTTCAACTAACCTCACCTTCACCTCTTGGCCAACAGAAACAAAACTTGCGACATCCTTAACAAAGCTATTGCTCAGCCTGGAAACATGCACCAATCCATCTGTGAAAGCTCCAATATCAACAAAAGCACCAAATGGTTGGATCGATCTTACTTTCCCAGTAAACATTGCACCAGGAATAAGTTCCTCGTTCTTAACAGGTGGCATCTCACTTTTCCTAACAGGTCTTGTTCGTTTGGACTGAGTTGGTGCAGGACTAGAATCTGATTTGCTAGTCGGTTTTTCGCTTGTTTCAATTGCATCCAATTGTATTTCTGAGCCTCCACTTGAAACTTCTGTCAGAGAAGAATCAGATTCCTCCACTGCTACATCAGTCCCTGTGGCTGATATACGGATTCCTGGTTTTCTATGTAAAGCATACCCTGTTCTGTATGGTGGAAATGATGTAACACAGGTTGACAGAGGTAGGATAAATCTTTGTGAGGGTAAAGCATATCTTGTGTGTTTCCTTGACGATCTGCATCTTGTTAGACTAGCGTTCTTCCTTACTGAAAAGCCAGCTCCGGGAATGAGTGTAACGTTGTTAATAGAACATGGGATCACGGGAGTCATGTTAACTTGAATGGCTAAAGTTAAAGTACAGTCTGCACTAAAATAAGTGTTTCATCTGTATTTTCACCTGCAAGAACATGAATGCTGTGCTCAAACATATAAATTTCCCCGGAGTTTGTGATAAGGCATGAGATACCCAAGCACCAGCATGCTAAAACCAATATGGCTAATATCTTCTATTAATACAGAAATAATCAGTAATTTAATTCAGCAAGCAGAAATTTCAATCACAGACCTAATTCTGGTGATTAAACTTGTTATGCAAATCAAATTTTCATGTTCAACTAAAGGCATGATATGCCAGGCATACTAAAATGCAAGTGTTTATTAGTTGTTTTGCAGAAAATACATAAGTTTCTGAAAATGAAGACAAATGGATTTAGGTGGTAATTTATGTTTTTAGATATTTCACAAATCATTGAGATTTGATAGTTCAATATTTCAATTAGCTTTGACTAGAAGATTCTCAATTAGTCATATTCTCTACATATTTGGCCAAAATCGTAAATTTAAAACATAACACACACATAACATCTTTCATCTAACTGTTCCAGCTGCTGGGAAAAATCTCTATCTTCAAATTAACAAAGTAACATCAACTACAAAGAGAAAGAAATTTGAATTTTTTTCTTTTGAATGGGATATTTGAATTTTTTTTCTTTTGAATGGGATTTCAAAGCAAAGAAACAATAACCAAATTATAACATTGTGCATTTGAACAACATTCTATGAACTAGCAAAAGCCTTGACCTTCAAAGGAAAGACATATCAATGAGCAATTCTTATAAAGTACATTATGAACCAATAAAACACTTAAGATGAAAATTAACCAAATTCTGCTTAACAGAACAGAAGAGTGCCCTATAAAAATCCATTTCGTTCACTGTTTCCTTTCTTTTTTCTTTTTTTATAAGTGGGTTGTTCTATACACTTTGTTCACTCGTACAGTAGTAGGATTTCACTCAAAAACTAAAACCCAACATATCCCTTCCAATTCAATAAACATGCAAAATAAATTCATTGCCAGAATACCATAAAAATTCAACCTGGACATGACTTCTGCCAAAGAGAAGCAAAACAGGAAGAAAAATTGACAACAACCCAACATTAGAAATAACAGAAAAACAGAAAGCAGCTTTAAAACCAATGACCCATTGGCTTATAACAAGCAAAAAATTATACCTTTTAAGAGCTAAAGCTTTCTGGGGAAAAGTTTCAGAACTGAACTAAAAAAAATTAGTATCAGAGAAAAGCCCAAGGTGTTGTTTGGTGGTAGAGCCTATTCATCACAAGAAGAAGAAGAGGGAATAGTGAAGGGTGCGGCTTAAATCCTTATCTTTGGTTTCATTCATGGATGGGAAAAAATTCAAAATATACGACGATGATTATGGTCTCCGCTCGGCTCTTGCACAAGTTTTTTTCTCAGCCTTTAGTTTTTGATTGGCTGAAAAGATAAAAGCCAAGGTGGTTAAGATGGACTTTCATTTATTGGTGGGCCAAAGAAAAACCCAAACCTTTTGTATTAGACACTGAAGTGGCCCTCTCCTTCTTTGTTTTTCTTTCAGAGAAAAATTGGACTTTCGGTCTTTTCAGAGAGAAAAACCCCAAACCCAAACATGCACAAGTTTTCTTTGTTTTATCAGTTACTGAATTCAAATGACGTGTATGGAAATAGACAGGAAGCTGACTGAGTTTTGAAGTAAGATTCACCTACAATATTTCTTATAGGTTAATGGACGTTTTAACATATAAATTCGTAAATTTATAGCTAAACAAAAATGTCATTATTAATTTTTTTTTAAGATGTGATTGGTTATTTAAATGAATTTATCATTTTAAGAAAATCCTAAGCTTGATTAAAGATTTTAAAGAATAAGTTCTGATATACTAAATCAGAACAGAATTTGAGAGTTCGATTACGTGTAAGAAATATGATAGTACCCTATGATACCTATCTTAAGATGATATCATTTAATTTTAAATTATTCTAAAGGTTTATAATTTTAATGCTCTTAAATTTGATATTGAAAATAACTTTTAAAATTCTCCATTAATCTGACAGAATTCTTAAAAATAATTTTTCATCTCGAAAATATTCAATAATCTCATTTGTTTTCTTGAAAATGCTCTGTCGTCAAAAAGCTTAATCAATTTTTTTATCTAAAATATATATAATTCTTCCATCATTTGAGCCTAAATTAAAAATATTTTCTCACCTAAAAAGATCTTAAATAATAATTAATTTATGATTACTAAGAATTTTATCATCAAAATTTATTTTATTTTATTTTATTTATTTTTATTTTTAAAATTTTCATCACTTTGGTCTATTTAGAGAAAATTACTTACTTAGAAATCTCTTAGAAAATTTACCATTTGAAATTTTTAAGATCTCATCCTTGAAATAATTACTATTTCAATTCCAAAATTTATTAAATTTTTATTATTTTATATTTTTTTTAAAAATAGAAAGTAAATACTAATATTATTGAAATTTTAATCTAAAATTTTCTTTCATTCGGGTTAAATTTAGAAAAATTTCTCACTTATGAATTTTATAGAAATTAACCATTTGTAATTTCTAAAAAATTTCATCATTGGATAATTATTTATTTTTTCTCAAAATTTTATTAAAATTTTAATTTTATATATTTTTTATAATTATTTTTATAATTTTTATAATTTTACTTAAAACTTAATCATGCATAATATTATATAAACAAATAAATAAATAAACCATAAAATAAATAAATCATAAAATAATAATCATAAAAAATAAACCAAAATAATTAGCTCACTCTACTCGGCAGTTGGACAGGTTTGGCTTAAGACATAGAAGTGGCTCAAGACAACGCTGCTTAAAGCTCGGCTCAACGGTTAGACAGTTTTGGCTCAATAGCATGTTGGTAATGGGTGGATTGTGATCTGATCGATCTCAAAATGGGAAAACGTGCGAGTCTGAATAAGTTTTAGGATCAAAATAGTGTCGTTTCTTCTTAGTATATAAAGCCCAAATCTTTTTGTTTTTGTTTTTTTTTTTTTCAAAATACCCTTTGTAACTCTTTCTCTAACTCTGTTTTTCTACTTCTCTCTCTAGGATGAATGCCAATCATCTGTTTTTGTCAATCTTTGCCGAAAGCTTGCTAGAGTTTTGCCAGAAACTGGATTTGATTATCGGATTCTAGAAACGGTCGTTGAAAACTAGGTTTCTCATCAAAATCTAGGTTTTTCATTGGAAAATTGTCAGAAAATTCAAATCTTGCTAGAAAATTTAAACGAATTCTGACATTTCAATCATTTAGAATTTTCCTAAGCCACTTTTTAGCCTAATCAAATTCACAATTGCATAAGATCTCTCAAAAATCCCTGACAGAAACTCTATTTTTCCTTTCAAAAATTTTTATTTGCTTACAGATTGTGTAAACACCTCATTTTATCCGAGATTCTTTGTTAATTGAGACCAATTCAAGCTCGATTGTAGGGATTTTTATTCATTTTTATTTCAAAATTTTCTTTCGTATTTATAATTTTTTTTATTTTTATTTTATGGTCTATCTATTGTATTTTTTTCTCCATTATTTGATTAATTAATTAAAAAAAGAGAGAAAAAACCTGAAAGATCGAGATTAGGCTTGGTGATTGTGATGATTGTTATCTAGATGCTAATATTTAGCTTTGGATGCTAATCATAATTGAACTGAAATTTCATCAGCATAATTTTATAAATCATTGTGATTCATCAGCAATGGGCAGCAACAAGGGATCAAGGATCAGGAAAAATCGGGGGAGCAAAAAAATATATTACACAATCTTCACCCATATTTTCCTTCTTTACCATTGCCATCACTCCATAGCTTTATTACTGAGTTCCATTGCAATCAATCTAACCTCACATCCAATCAACTTTTCCATCGATTTCCTATAAACGATTTCATAATCCAACCTTATGTCCAATCAACTTTTTCACACCAATTCCCCACTGTTGTCCATACTACTAGCAACCACCCAAAAGCTCTACACCAATTCTACTGCAAAAATTTTTGCCCTAGATCAAAACCAATATTTTCATAAACCTATCCTTTTCAACACCACAAACAGTACTTAAGAAACCATAAACCTACAAATAGAATCAACGAACACCCACAATTCACCATTAACACAGAACATCAACATCAGTCTAGAGCCTTTCTCATACCACCCTAAAGTTTCCAGAAACCAATCAGCCTTTACCTGCGCCAAAGCCATATACAGAAGCTATCAGCCACAAGAATCGAGACTTGCCACCACCATCAGCTTCTTGTTGGATAGTCACCCATCGTCAGTCAGCCATATCAACATCAATTCAGAAACGTGGCAAAATTAGAAACCAAATATCATAAATGAAAAACAGAGAATCAAACAAAACAAAAAAGAGAGGAAAAAAAAGGGAAACCCGAAACCTACCTTGGTGGCAACAGTGACATACGACGATTGACGTAACTTTTGAAAAATTCGTATAAGAAAAGCGAAGGGATTGACGAAAGAAATAACATACTGAAAGTTGGAGAAGATTCGACAATGGAAGAGGCTAGAATGAAGAAAGAAAAACCCAGAGCTTGAACTTCAGATTTACGCCTTTAGGAAGTGATTTTTTTTTAAAAAAGAGCTCATATTCAAAACGAGAAGAGTAAGAAGCAATAGTGGGGAAAATTTTAGCTTGACCGGTCATCGGACGGTGGTGGAGTATGACGACACAGGTGGTAAAGTGTGACAGCATCGGTGTTAAGATTTATAAAACTTTGAAGTTTTCGATCGGGTTTTCTATCTTTAGAGAGAGAGGGAGAGAAAGCTGAAGGTAGAGAGATAGTGTAAAAATAAGAACTCAAGAATAAAGGGCTTACCTTTGGCTTATATAGCCACATAAAACGACGTCATTTTGGGTATTAGCTAAAAGTAGGATCCACGTGTTTTTAAGTGGGTAACCCGACCCGTATCGCGACCCGCACTAGCAACCCACTTTCATGCTTTTAGCTCCAATCGAGCCGATCCATAAACCAAGCTACCAAGCCGAGCTTTTGGAGCCACTTTCTACCTGAAGTTGCACCCTTGGCTCCAGCTGAGCCAAGTTGCGTCAAGGTTTTTTTTTCATTTATTTATTAATTATTATATTATTATTATCATTATCATTATTATTATTATTATTATTTCTGCTTATTGATTAAATTAAATTTATTTGGTATTTTTTTATTTTTATCTTTTTTTTTGTCAATGATTCTTCTAAAATAAAATTTTCAAAAAAATATTTTTGGAAAAAAGTTGAAAGTATCAATTTTTCTTAAAAATAAAATTTTTAAAAATAAAAATTTCTAAAAGTATTTTGAGAAAAAGTTGAAAGTATTAATTTTCTTTGAAAATAAAATTTTTTTAAAAAAATATTTTTGAGAAAAAGTTGAAAGTATCAATTTTTCTTGAAAATAAAATTGTTAAAAAATATATTTCTGAGAAAAAATTGGAAGTACCAATTTTCTTTAAAAATAAAATTTTTAAAAAAATATTTTTGAGAAAAAGTTGAAAGTATAAATTTTTCTTGAAAATAAAAACCTTAAAATATTTTTGAAAAAAAGTTGAAAGTATCATTTTTCTTTGTATAAAAATATGAGTTTTTTTTATAAAAGAAAAAGAGATTTATATCGAAAGTCGAATTATCATTCCTTTTCCCTTTGATCCTTTTCTTTTCTTAAAAAATTTTTAATGTTAAATCATCCGACGATGGAGCATGTGTAAGTAAACAATAGTTTTCTTACATACTCTTGAGGTGATTGAATTTTTCTTAAGTTTTTGCCAAAAGTGTTGGAGTTCATTAAGAATAATTTTCAATAATTAATTACTTGATAAAATTTTTAAGGCTTATTGTATAACATGAAATTAAGTTGGTACCATCTTTCGATGGGTATTATGAGGGTGGTATAACTTTCTTCACTCGTAACTGAACTTTCGAACTCTATTATGGTTAATAAACCTGAACCTATTCTTTTAGGGAGCCTTAGTTAAGCTTAAGTGTTCCTTGGAAGGATAAATTCTTTAAGTGGTCAATCGCATCTAAACAAAAAGATTGGTGGTGACTTCTTAAGTCAATGTCAAGCAATAGATCCCTAGATCTAGAAGTTATGACAGTTTGATAACTCCGCTGGGGACAGTCGAGAGTCAGCTAGCAAATAAATTCGTGTTATCCAAAAAATTTAATAAAATTAAATTCTTTGTAAGGATTTTTTTTTGCTTTCTTTTCTATTCATTTTATTTATTTATGTTGCAAACTATGTCATTCATAGGCATATGCATAATATGAGATCTATACCTGAGTTTCGTCCCTCTATGAGAGAGTAAAGTACCTATGTTTTTGTAAGATTCTAATATCTCCGCAATGGCTAGTGAAATACTCTTACTCAAATTAAATCCTTTCTGTTAGTAGCTTGGGATGGGTGAAGTTTGAATTGCCTTACTAGTCTATAATGGATGATGATGTAAGAAACAATTTGAGAACTTTTAGTGATTAAAATTGTCTAACCCAGCATATAGTGTACACTTAAGAGGTTAACCTTAAGATAGAGCATTTCTTACCCAATGATAGATATACCTTGAAACTAGGACACAATAAGGGTGTTTATCTAATCATTTTGATTATTTGACTTT